TACAAGACATCAAATTGAAAACATCATGTCCTATGACCCATAAGTAATTATAGCAGGTAGTTCCGTAGGCCGAGTTTCGGTGGTGAGAAATCTGGGTGTCCTTATGGATGGTTCCCTTAACTTTGAAGGGCATATCCTTGAGACAATCCGTAATTGTTTTTATCGCCTGAAAGTTTTGTATCGTGCGAGAACCTTTATTTACGTCGATTTGCGCAAAAAGCTTTGCGACTCTTTGACTCTGTCCAAGCTAAACTATGCCGACACTATATACGGCGGATGTCTGCTTGCTCGCACGAGGACTCTTGTTCAACGATTGCAGAATGCGTGTGCGAGGTCTTGTTATCCCCAAAGAATCGTACAAGTTTGCTCAAAGCATACTTGCTTTATGTTCAGCAATCTCAACGTGGCTGTTGATGTGTCGGGGTCGTCTACATATTGTTAATTTTTAAGCGTTTAGTTAAATTTTATTAAATTATGCACCATCCGAATTTTATTTTGAAATACCTAGTGACGTGATAAGATATTTATAAAATTGTTATTTGCTGTTACACAAATTTTCACAATTATATTTCATTTACGATGTTATTTCTAATTGAAATATTTATTCATGTTTTATGAAATTAATAACCTATACAATAATATACATTTTATTACGTGACGTGATTGACGTTATCATTTGCATAATATGTAAATGATAACGTCATTAATTGTACCTTAATTGAATAAACTGCTCATGTTTTGTGTGTAAAGTTATAATATGTGCTTGTTTCATTCAATGTTTTAGTGTAAATCTGTGACGGCTACTATGTTCCGTGTCACGTATGTTCTGTTGCCGGATCCGCTGAAAATCAGCTTCGTAGCACTTTGAGTGAGACGGCAATATGCTGAGTGGGTCACGGTTTCCTTGGCAGCACAGCACACAGGCTTTGTATTCTATATATGAATGAATTTAGTTCCAAATCCTTGTTGTTATTATTATTATCACCATTATCGGTATTATTATTATTATTAATATAAAATGCATGTGTACTGTGTTGATTATTCAAGTAATAAATTATTTCTATTCTAAAGACAAAAAACAGAAAATAAAAGGCGTCTGGTTGGGTTGACTACGATTCCATTTACAGGGAATTAGGCCATGTGGATTGGGATGTGGTTCTGAACAAAAAATCAGTAGAGGATGCAGTTTCGGCTTTCATGGGTATTGTTTCAAATATCACAGATCGCAACACTACTCAGATCCTAAGAATCGTAATGATAAAGTTCTCCTTCTAAACCCGCTACAGAAACTTCCATAACGACTTACTGAGAAAACTAAAGACGCTATACTAGTCACAAATATTAGAACAAAACAAAGACAATCCCAGGAAACTTTGGAACTCCATTAGAACCGTTTCTCATTTAACTGCCTCCGTGGCCGAACGGTTACCATGCCGGACTGCCACGCAGAGGTCCCAGGTTCGATTCCCGGGCCGGGAGAAATATTTGTATGGCCTACAATTATTTCTCTCGTGAGTTCGGGTGTAATTTGTGGTTGTCTAAGTGTGTGTCCATGGCACCCACGACACAGGGTTTCCCTAGTGCGGAGCTATATTGAGGGTGTGCGTGTGTGCGTTAATACATTTCATTTCGCTTTGCCCCAGTGGCCTTTTGCTTACTATTTATAATTCCGTGAACGCGGTCTACGTAAACGCGAGTCTGCCAAAGAATATTACGAAACAATGATATAATGACAGTGATCGCATTGCACATTTTGTAAAAGCTTACCAGAAGTTCACAAAGTTAAAGTAGAAGGAAAATTACTAAAAAATTATAAATTCAAATTCAAAATAATCTTTATTTCATAGGTAATGAAAATAAGGCATTATTAGACTTGAAATCGCCTCATTGGTTAAACTCTCCGCTCATTAGTAAGGCAGATTTCCCTGAGAAGAATGAGCAAGAAACTCTAGGGGTTGCTCTTTGTAAATAGCATTCAACATTTACAATATACTTTTTTTTGAAAAATCAGAGATCGATACTACCTATATATGAGCTAAACGGGTTATTATGTAACGTCTCACGTACATAAGTTATTATTTTATTGAATTCTAACATTTTATTGCGAAAGTACACTTCGTTAGAAAGGACACGAGCCCGGCAGTGGAACGTATTGTTACTGTTGGTCGAAGAACAACTCGTAATAGTTAACATTTTTGTTCGCGTCTGTATTCCTTTTAGAGAGCGCTCATTGGCCGAGCGACCTCGTCATATCGAAGCTTCTCGACGAACGCGGTTTTGACGTCATCACGGCCGTTAGTTACAGAGAACACACGAAGGACCACATCAGACCACAACAGACATATCTAGACAGACGCCGCAAGTGTACGTACTTCGCGTGCCCTAAGTAAGTGAAATTCACTTACTTGCCGCTGCTACACTTCAGAACGCACTCGACCGTTATCTTCGATAAACACCAGTCGAAATCGCGAAAAATGCATAATTGTGCCATTTTAAACTGCAAAAGCACCATAACTGTGGGTAAACGGGTAAACAGGGACGTTTCCTTCCACGGGCAAGTCATTTCGTAATCAGAAGATGCACAATTTATTTTAAAAACAATTATTTTGGTGACCCGCAATTCAGGTTTTTCTATACCTATCTCGGGCACCAGTCTCTCACAAAACAGTCTGACCAATTTTTGGTCTTGTATTTTAAGTTCCCTACTCTTAAGCCTGTTTTGTGATTGAGAAATAAATAAACTTCATTCATTCATTCATTTTGGTTTTGTATGAATTTCGAGAAAACAAATATGCAACCCAGTGTACGCCTCATGATTTCTAATATATTCCGGCTTTTACTTGGCGTGATATATTTATGATCCTTTGTTAATACGCCATGAATATCGAACGAACGCACTTTTGCATAATGCATTCAGTTTCCGTGGTAAGCCCGCTTGTACATTTTTTGGCCAAATTTAACATTTAGTGATGTATATACATTAGGCAACATTGTGCTCGAGTCTGATCGATTTTGAAAACAAAGGGACGATAATTATTATCACCTTAGCAATATTATAAAAATATTCTATAACTCTTTTGTTATAACGTTTAGTAACGTTCCGTTTTTTTTTTCAGTTTGGTAGTATCTATTATCAGTAGTATCTGTAATTTCGATAATTTTTGCAGCACGTTGCTTCGAATGTCCGAATATAGTGAGCAAATAATTACATACATCGCCGAATGTGTAGTAGTAATACAAAAAATATATAAAGGGCGAAGTATGTAACAATACGCTGTCTTTACAAAAACCTGGAGTTGGTCATACGTATGAGTACATTGCTTTCAAGGACGAAGGTGGCTTAGTTTATCCCACCTAAGATACTATCCAAATATGCAGAGTAGCAGAGTTAGAAATCCGAGAAATAATAAACAAATCACAAAAATGTCACACGAGGCCGTCATTAAGTGAACCTCTTCTGTTTAATAAGATTTTATCATATTTTGTCAGCAGTAGCATTTTCGGTTGTCTTGCCATTCATCAATTTGCTCAATTACCAACAAAACAATCTAGTAAAATTAGTTAAGGCAGTCAAATTAAGTAAGTTTTCATTATTTAAGTTAATCGATAAGATCTTCTATTACAAAAAGATGTTATATAATAAGCTCATTTTATTGGAAGGATAATAATTTTAATATTTGAAGTCGATTAAAAATTAAAGTCTTAATTTTTTTAAGTGACCAACATTTTTTTTAAATAAGTTTAGTAAAATGAAGGACTTAACTGTCTTATTCTGGTATTTTTCTACTACATTATTATTACGAGTATTTGGAATCAACTAATACTTGAACAAAAATCATTCTATTTAGAAACGAGTAATTGAATGGAATACGCGTATTTAAGCGCATTCCGTTCAATCAATCGATTTAGAGCGGAAGGAGGTTTCCAATCACTAAATAGTTCTTGTGACGTCGTAGCGGATACAAAAAATGTGCCACGCTTGGTTTTCATACAAATTGCTGTACTTGCGGCCTAGATATGTCTGTGGTTACATTTCTATCACCATGACTATCGTTCCGCGTTCCAGTTCCAAAAAAAAACAGTGACAAATCACCGTGATTGTTGTATTTTTAAGCTGATTGCCTCGTAGCCAATGCTTAGTAAATTTTTTAGTTAATATAAAAATCACCGTGAAAAACAAATGGCAGGTTTTTGTAGTTAGTTTTTTCACAAATTAATTTTTAATTAGAAGTATTATTACGTTTTAAGTTTCTTATGGTCGTATTCCAGAACTCTACTCAATGCTCAAGTCAGGACTTGAGTATGATTTCAAGCACTTGAAATTATACTCAGGGTCGTATTCTAGAACTCTTATTCAATGCAATACTCAAGTCCTGACTTGAGTATGGAGTATAGTTCTGGAATACGACGCTCAATCCTTTGTTGCTTGTATAATGGTTTTTATTCCTTGTTTTGTGTTTCTTTTTGTAAATTGTTTTTTTTTTTGGAAATAAAATAAATTAAAAAAAAGTTATTTAACTGGGTTAACTTGAGTTAATCCCACAAGTCAACTCGAGTAATTTTTTGTGAACTCGAGCTAGCTCGGTTCGGTTCCCGCCGTGCCGAATACTTCATTCATACAGCGCGTCGTCGGCTATTCGTTATCACTCGGTCGGTTCAGCGACCTTCGGAACACGATCCAGTCGCGATTGGCCGGCTGATTGTGCCCAACTCGATCTGAATCGTCCGTTCGAATTCTATTCGCGACTCGCGGTTGCTCTGTCAGACACCGAGTCGAATTAACTCGAGCTGGCAGACACTCGACTCGAGTTAAAAATAATATATAATTCGTCCCATCGTTTAAGACCTTTTTTTTCCATCCTCTAAGCTTTAAACGATGATGGAAAAAAATAAAGGGTTTTTAGTAAACCATTACAAACATGGTTTATATTCGGATTTGGCGAGGCCGTAAAACTCACAAAAAAACACGCTTCGCTTGGAAAAAAAAAAAGAAAAATATGGCGGACGGTGGCTGGTGCACGCTAGTATTGCGAATTTGGGTATCATAATATAATTTTCACTCAGTAATTGCGTACAAAATATAAATATCGGGGTGATTTAACATTATTATATTATTTACTATTTCTTGCAAATCGCGTGTCGGCTCGCGTCGCGGTATTCGCCAATGGCGCTGTGCTAGCGAGACGCGTTGTGCGGTGCAGTCTGTCCGCCGACGTCGCATCAATTCAGTGACAAAGCCTCAAGATGACGCAGTTTCTTCCGCCGAATCTGCTGGCACTGTTCGCGGCACGGGATCCGATCCCGTACTTGCCGCCGGCCGCGAAGCTGCCCCACGAGAAGAAGCAGAAGGGCTACGACGGCGTGGGAGCGTTCCTGTCGGGCTTCGAGCTGCCGGGCGAGACTCCGCCCCCGACGCGCGTCGAGACCCGCGAGGAGCGCGCGGAGAGGCGCCGCCGCGAGCGCGCCGAGCAGGCCGCCTACAAGCTGGAGCAGGAGATCGCGCTGTGGGACCCGCACGCCAACGCGAGGGCCACCCTGGACCCCTTCAAGACGCTCTTCGTGGCGCGCATCGTGAGTGCTCTCGCTGCAGTCGCCGATTCATTGAAGCGTGTGTAGATTTGTTGCTCGCGTCCGAGAACGGACTGAATACTCGGCGGTTTCATCGAAGGGACACACGCCCTCGCTTTCCCGAATGAGACCGTGTATTTAGTAACCGATACGTAATGCATTTTCTCAATGGCTGTTTTCAGAACTATGACACGTCCGAGTCCAAATTGCGAAGGGAATTTGAGGGCTATGGACCTATCAAAAAGGTAAGTCAGTATCATTGACTGCAGTCAGGATTGTTTGAAAAAGTATATTTTTTAAATTAAATTAAATTTTATTTGCATTGCACCTGTGACCCAGGATGCTTCCTCCGCCTGTGACCCAGGATGCTTCCTCCGCCTGTGACCCAGGACACCATTGTGAACATGACAATAATTTCCATTAGTTAACTAGATGAAGATAAGAGTTCTTGCAGTGTTAAGTAATAATAATAATAACACTCACACTCAACATAAGTGAGTTAAAGTGCTGGTAATGCAGCAGCTTAGCGATCTATTTGTGCCTGTTTGTGTTTCAGATCTTCATGGTTTTCAACAAGGAGAATGACAAGCCGCGTGGCTATGCTTTCATCGAGTACGAGCACGAGAGGGACATGCACTGTGAGTGATACACTCGCAAATCACGCACACGTATACACACACACGCACATACACACACACACACACACACACACAAAAGACATACATTACGATTGCCAAGAGACAAATGCGGTAGCACACATTTGACATTAACATTTGAGTTAACTTATTTGCTTGTCATATCTGTGGAGCTGTTGAATATTAAAAAAGAAATCTGTAGAATGTTCATTGGAGAGACTTGAGCATAATTCTGTTGGATCAATGGCATGATGATAATAAATGTGTCCAAGTGAGCACCCACCGCACACATGCAGCGGCCCTGCGGTGGGGCCAGGGCGGCCCAGGCCGCGCTGCCCCCACTGCAGCCCGCCCCGCAGTGCCCCGCGGCGCCGGCGGGGGCAGCAGCGCCCGGCCCCCGCCCCGCGACCCACCCCCGCCGGCGGCGGCGGGGAGCGCCCCCTGCGGCGCCCGCGTCGTTCGTGCGTCAGATTAATGCGAGGTTTTTCTATTTCGCACCGCAGAGCCTGCCGTATAGTCTACCCGCCGCGGCCGACCGCCCCATTTAATAGGTTTGTATGTGGTGGTAAGATGCCAACATACAACGATGTCTTTCACTTGCCGATCTTGATGTTATCATAATTATCGTAGAACGCGTAGGAAGCGCCGGCGCCGCGCGAACCACACGCAGGTCTCTAGATCAATCCGTAATCGATATTGTTTAAGAAAGACGCGCATCCATCAGGTAAAGTGGTGTGTTCGTCTGTTGCGAGACGAATTCGTGTCAGGCAAATATTGGTTTCTCGAATGACGGCGAACAGGTAGTATGCATATAGTTGTTGTAACATTGAATTGGAAGGAAGTGCACAAACATTACGATGTTGTTGATGGTTAAAATGTGTGGTCGCGCCGGCGTCGTTGGTCGCGCTCCGGCCCTGGATGGTAAAATAAATTGAACGGTAGTAATGAGCGCTCGGTCGACGTGGATTCAAACGGTAGTATAGCCACGGCAAGTGTTGTCACTACAATATTGTTATTTAATATAATTAGCATAAAGTGTCGTCGCGTCGCGCGTTGCGTCGACGCCCAGGTAACGCCGCGCTGGTGGCCGCCGGTAGGTAGCTGTACGGCTCAGCGGTAGGTATACAGGAGGTATTGGCATTGCTACAGGCGCCGCGACGGCCGGGCGCCGCTGCAGCCTCGGCACCACTCTACACGCCCCTGTAGAGAAGCTTAAAGACTCGTCTGCGCTCGGTGACACCGTGGCCCTCGATAGATACCGAACATAATAATGCACACACTCAATAATAAACGGGTCATACGCGAATAAAGGAGTCGGCAACGGCGTCACCCAGTGGCCTCGATCGCTCGCGAGGCTGCAGCGGCTCCCGGTTCGCTCGTGTTTCGACGGTCGTATGTCGCGTTTCGTAGCGTTGGATTTCATTCCTTCTGTTCGTGAGTATCGCCCGCCCTCGCCGAGCTGCGTTTTGCTGCGAACAGCCGTTGTGTCACCCGCGATGCTTCAGCGTAGACGCGCGACGTCGAAGTCGTCTACGCTCAAACACCGTTCCTTTGACACAACGTTCGCGTAAAAGAAACTTTTGTAATAGCAAAAGACAACGCGGCGAGGCACGCCGGATTTACATTTGCCTGACGTGTCGTGTCGCGACGCGTCGGTACGGTACCGGTTTCATACATTTAATATGGTTAGATTTATATTAGTGTGTCGCAATCTGATGTGACGGCGTGTGCTGTGTGTATGAAACGTCAGACCCATTGTCAGACAAATATAAATCCGGTTTAATGAATGTTGATGAAACTGATTCGAACAGCGATTGAACGCCGCGCTTCATCCTTTCAATTTCAACCGACCATAGTCGCAACCGCCATCGCTATAGACTAGGCTGACGACAAAACGATTTGAGGTTTTGATCAACTGTGAGTGATTCGCGCGACATTCGCGCACGCGCATTGGCCTCACGCGCTGCGAGGACGCTGCATATGTTGTGTGCAAAAATAAACATTGTGGTCTACGAATACTGCGACACGGAGTGAGTATTTGTAGGGCGGGATGAGTAAGTTGTTGGGTATAGTGTAGTTTGTGGCAGTCCAAGTTTGTCTGCGCTCGGACGGACGTCGCGAGTGCTGCCACCTGGCCAATGTCGCGTGTCGCGTGTGTCGCGCGCGAGAGTCGCGTGTGTGTGCCGTGGTGGGTCTAACGCGCGTGTGTGTGTGCGCTGCAGCGGCGTACAAGCACGCGGACGGCAAGAAGATCGACGGCAAGCGCGTGCTGGTCGACGTCGAGAGAGCCAGGACCGTCAAGGGCTGGTTGCCGAGGCGCCTGGGTGAGTATCGCTTCCGTGTTGCGCTTTCTATTCTAGGCGACGTAGGTGCGAGGAGCCTTCTAATAGTGAAGGAAAACATCTGATAACAAACTACTTCGACGGAGGCGATCCCTGGAGTTATCTAGAGATAAAACGGATAGTGAATTGACCGGATGCCGGATATTCGGCGAGCACTTAGGCCAGATAGCCGGATATCCGGCTATCTAAACAAATATTTACCAGAAAAACGTTTACAGTGAATAAAAAATCGCAGATTTGGCAATATTTTAATATATTTGGTTGTTTGTTGTGCTGTAATGCAAATTTCTCGTGGTGGAGGAGGAAAAAAGCAATTACATCATTCTTTGGGTATATTAAAATTTTTGGTTGTTACAAGTATCTTAGCAGCTCTTGATACGCTCGTTTGCTTGTTATCTAACTATTGTAAGCCGTGGTACTGGATCTGCTAAAAAATGTACTTGTATTTGAAGATGGTTCAAATAAATTGTGATCGTGATCCTTTTATTTGATCATTTGGCATTAATTAGCAGTACCTAAAATTTAACAAAGTTTGTAAGAGTTGGTAGTGAAAAATTGTCCTCTGGGGCTGGTCTCGTTTTTATAAAATTAAGAAAAACACAAATTTTTGCCACTTAATGCTGGTTTTTATCCACTGTAATTTGTTTTTATTGAAATTTGAGTGCTAAATTTACAGATAACGTTATGTCACTTTATAGTTCTTTCAGTCGCAAGTAATAAACAGGTCGTCAACGGTCCTGTAGTCGCCGCCTATTCTGTTAGTCTTTCTGTATGTTTAATGAATAAACTAATTTGTTTGGCGTACTGAATGTGAATTTTTCTTATCTTTAAACGTTCGGCATACGGGTTTATCAGTCGGTATCCGGTCGGACACCGGATAGCCGCCGGATATCCGTTTCACCCGCAACCTAGACCGCAATCGTGGCGGCGGTTCGTCTAGCCGACGTGCCGACGTCACGCGCTACCCGTTCACCGCGAACCTCGCGCTGCCCCGCAGGCGGCGGGCTGGGCGGCACGCGCCGCGGCGGCGCCGACGTCAACATCAAGCACTCGGGGCGGGAGGACAACGAGCGCGAGCGGGAGCGCTACCGGCTGGAGCAGCGCGACAAGGACGACCGCACGCGCCACGACCGCGAGCGGGAGCGGGACCGTGAGTACCGCCGCGGCGCAAGCGCGGCCGCCACGCGCGCTGACGCCCGCCTCTCCGCAGGGGGCCGCCGGCGCTCGCGCTCGCGCTCGCGGCGCCGCTCGGGCTCGCGCACGCGCAGACGCGAGCGGCCGCGCCCCGACGCCGAGCGCGCGCGCGACGACGACGCCGACAGGTGCGTATGGCGGGGGGCGGAGGGCGGGGCGGGGCCCGCCGCCCGCCGCCCGCTGACCCTCTCTGCGGCAGGCGGCGGCGGCGCTCGCGCTCGCGCTCGGAGCGCCGGCGCGAGCGGCGCGACAAGGACCGCGACAAGGAGCGCGACCGCGACAAGAAGCGCTCGCGCAAGGACCGCGACCGCAAGGAGGCCAAGGTCAAGCCGGAGGACATCAAGGTCAAGCAGGAGCCCGTGGACGGTACGCGCCCGCCGCCGCGCCGAGGTAAGGCGTCGCCGCCGCGGCTCACGCCTCCGCTTCGCTCGGCAGACTATCCGGAGTTCAGCGTGTCGGGCGGCGTGGCCGTCAAGGTGGAGCCGGCCGACCACGACCACGACGACCGCGACCACCGCGAGCACGACCACGACGACAGCAAGTACGCGCCCGACGAGCACGACGACGCCAACGGCGACTACTACTAGCGTCGGCCGCGGCCCCGCGCGGGCGGCGACTCGCTCCCGACGTCTGTCACGCGTCCCCGCGAGAGGGGTCGCGTGACAAACGCCAGGTGACGAGAGCGCACCGCGCGCTGCCCCCTTCGGCTCTCGGCTCTCCTTTGTGCGACGGCCGGCCGCTGTCCAAAGTGTCGCCCGATGAAAAGAAAATTGTGCGATATCAAATTAATGATTTAAGAATATTTTTCAGTTCGTTCCTTTGTAAAATTTGGATATTTGTTTTGTCCTACAACACGTGGTGCGAAACGTACCGCGTGAAGGACCCTTTTCGGTGGAAAACCACACTTTGGACAGTCCGTGTTGCAGCAGCGTTTGCACGCTACGATTTCGTCGTTCTGCATTAATTATAAGCTTGTTCGCTAGTCGTGTCACTAAACAGTAGCTCGAGACGATTATATTTTAATACAAAATGAACTTAAGTGCTCGTTTTTCGTTACTCCACTGTTTGTTGCAGTGGATATAATTAACTGGACCATTTGTTGTCGACGTTGCGGCCAATTCCACAGAGTAGCCTATGCATTGACCGACATGTTTTGAGAGTTAGAGATGGAAAATATTGTTTGATGAATAAGCTCCTTAAAATCGTCCGCGACGCCGACAAAGCTGTACTACATGTTGTATGGTGTACGCCATACTGACCGAAGTGATGTGGCCAAGTGCCGTGACGGTTATTCATAGAAATAAATGTGATTATGAATTTTAGGCGTGCTTTTTATTTCCCATCCCGTTGAGAATTGAAGAATTCAAACCGTATCGCACTTGGGTGTTGCCATTAGAACAGGGCAGGCTCGCTAGTGAGTGCCACTTCCATCCTCTAAGGCGCCACGCGACATTCATTTGACGTGACGTATGTTACAATGAATTATTTGCCTTAACGCCATAATGTTATTCAAAACGAGTTATTGCAATCAGTGTTAGGCGTTTATCAATTAAATTTCAATCAGATAAAAAAATCAATTCAATTGAAATCAATTGCAATGTCGCAATTAATTTTAATTGCAATTGATTTCAATTGAATTGATTTTTTAATCTGATCACTCACTCACCCACTCACTCAAACTCACCCTCTTACTCACTCACTCACCCACCAACTCATTCTCCCACTCACTCACACCCATTCACTTGCCACACACTCACCAATATGCCCTATAAATTTATCAAAATTGTCAGTTTTAATTGTTAATCAAAAACATTGAAAAGATTGAAAATTGATCAATTGTTAATTGCAGATATACGCGATTAATGATTGATTAAT